GTAGATTGGGGAGTGAGGAAGTCAGAGAGGAAGGGAGGTGACAGGGAGTGAAGGGATTTAAACACGAGTGTGTGGACCTTGAAGTTGATCCATTCGGTGATGGGGAGCCAGTGGAGCCTGGTCAGAACTGGTGAGATAGGGTCAGTATGCAGCCAGCAGAGTTCTGAATAGTGGAGCTGGGGAGACCAGCAAGGAGTGCGTTTTGAGTAATCTCGGCGTGAGGTGACAAATGCATGCACAAGGGTTTCGGCTGCATTTGGGGTAAGGTACAGTTGGAGGTGGGCAATGTGGCAGGGATGGAGGAAGGCGGTCTGTTCAGGGACAGGATATGGGGAACGAAGGACAACTGGGAGTCGAACTGGATGCCTAGACTGCACACTAATTCAGTGAGTCTGAGGGAGAGCCCAGGGAGGTTAAGGGGATCAGATTGGCAGGAGTGAAGACGTTGACAGGAGCCAAGGAGTATGGTTGTCCACATTCAGCTGTAGGAAGTTTGCACTCATCCAGGCCATGATGTCTGGCAGACAAGCAGATAGAACATTGACGGTCCTAGAGTCGATACTGGAGGAGGCAAAATAGATTTGTGTGTCATCCGCATACATGTGGAAATTTAACTCGTGCGCGGATGACATCACCCAGTGGGAGCATATAGATAAGGAAAAGAAGAGGGCCAAGGATGGAGCACTGGGGTACCCTGCAGGGACCAGGCGGGGGCGGGAGGAGAAATCATTTCCCAAGATGAAGTGGAGGCATTTGGTTAAGTAGGACTCGAACCATGCGAGTACGGTCCCACTAAGCTGGATGAGGGAGGAGAGGCGGTGGAGGAGAATGTCGTGGTCTATTGTATCGAATGCGGCAGAGAAATCCAGGAGGACAAGGAGGCAGAGGAAGCCCTGGTCACAAAGAGAGGATGTTGTTTGTGACTTTGACAAGCGTCGTCTCTGTGCTGTGGGCAGGATGAAAACTAGGCTGCTGGGGCTCAAGGAGGGAGTGAAGAGAGAGGTATGACCAAAGTTGACCTGCAACAGTGCATTCCAGGACTTTGGCAAGGAAGGGCAGGTTGGAAATGGGACAATAGTGTGAGGGATTAGAGGGATCGAGGGTGGGTTTTTTGAGGAGGTGTGTGATAACAGGAGGGTGGAACAGAGCCTGAGGAGAGAGAACTGTGTCGGCCAGCAGGTGGAAGAGGGGGAGTTGACTGACCAGCAGCTGGGTGGGGAGGGGGTCGAGTCAACAAATGGTGAATTTATGCGGGTGACTGCGGTTGAGATGGAGGAGGGAGAAATGGGGGCAAAGGATTGTAAGGAGGGGGGAGTGGGAGGAGCCCTGGCAGAGGGAGAAGGCCGTGTGGATGGTCTGGGTATGGTGGAAGGGGACATGGGGAGGTGGGAGGGGGGGAGGGGGGGCAGGATGATGCAGCCAAGCGGATGTTTTCAATCTTTGAGGTGAAGAAGTCTAGTACCTCTTCGCACTTGGGAGTTTGATGTGACGATAGAGGGAGCTTGATGGGGTGCACGAAGGAGGTGATGGAAATTGGTATCTTTGGGTTGTTTTTGGCCGCCAGGATGATTTTGAAGGAAAATGTCAGTTTTGGCTTGTGAAAGGGCGAGCGGTAGGAGCAGAGGTGCTCCAGCCACAGATGGCGATGAATCGTGAAGCTGGATTTCTGCCATCTACGCTCGAGCATCCGGGTTTGGGTTTCAAGTGAGTAGAGATGACTATTGCACCAGGGGGAGCGGGTGGATTTGGAAACGGCCCTGGATTTCAAGGGAGTCAGGGAATTAAAGGTTGTGGAGAGATGGTCATTCAGCAACCTGATGGCTGCATCAGGATCACTGCAGGTGGAGGGCCAGAGGAAGAGGAGGTCCGAAGAAGAGAAGGCATTTGTGAGGGACTCAGGGGGAAGCTTTTTCCAGGGGCGGAAAAAGATGGTGGTGGGATGGTGGGATTGAAAGAGCGGAGGGGAATGAGGGAGGAGAGGGAGATGAGGAAGTTGTCCAAGATGGCCCTGTCCGTGATGAACAAGATCAGAAATGTCAAGGCCATGTGTGATGACGAGGTCGAGTGGGTGGCCAGGGTCGTGGATAGTTGATGTGTGGGTGAGGTTTAGGGAAGAGAGGAGGCAGTGAAAATTGATGAAAATGGAGGCCAAAAGGTGGTGCAAGGGGAGTTAAGTTGGAGGTTGAAATCACGCTGGTGATGATGAGCTGGTGTTCAGTGCAGCGGGACAGGGATGAGAGGTGGGCGAAAACTTATTTGCTGAGTTTGTATATTTCCTCCTAGTAGTCTACACAAGCAAAACAAACTATAATATTACAGGCATTACGGAGACTCGATTAAACAATAACATGTTGTAGACTGTGTAGAGGAAATCAATTCACAAGTATACAGACAGCACTGCAAGGAATAGAAAGGCTTAACAAGGAAAGTGTGAGATTATTATGCGAATATGGATCAGGTGTAGATCATATGACATGAGGTAAGCATTATTAAGGGGAAGAACTAATTTTCAGGATTGATTATGGGTCACTAATTCAAGAGGAGGCTTTAGGCTCAAACTTCATTTTCATGTGAGAGACCAAACTGTTCATGATAATTACAAATCTACGGGGATGAGTAAAAATGAGCAAAAAAGTGATTATGCATGAAGCGGCATGAAACATAAGGAGGTTAAAAAAAAGCAGTAATATATCTATTGTTGAACCGGGCTATGACAGAACAGATTACAGTGAGTGACTTTAGTATGCCCAAGTTTAAAGTTGGACTAATGATAGATAATGACAGCAACTGAATATACTGATACATGTGAAATTATCATAGGAGTACACATGGTTTAGTGTACACTGTATCACGTAAAGTCCTAAAGTTCTGTAACAGAGGATCCATGAATGCCATTTACATGGATCTTCAGAAGGCATTTGATAAGATGCCATATAAGAGTTTACCAGTTAAAATGAAGGTACGCGGACTCTAGACCCAATCTCACGACAAAGATAGGAAGTTGGTTGGAAAGGAAACAGTTTGGATAATAGTGATGTTCTATGATTGACAGTCATGGAAGGCAGTGACAAGTAATGACCCCAGGCATTGGTGCAGGTACAACAGCTTTTCAAGCTATATATAAATGACCTAGATATTAGAACAGAGAAGTATACCCAAGTGTGCTGAGGACTAAGCTAAGAAGAATAGTAAATTGTGAAGAAAGGAGAAATTTTCACAGATTTAGGGAATAAGTGTCACAATCAGAGATTTAGTTCAATGTAGCAAAGTGAAAATGGTAAACAGGAATACATTGTAAATCAGGAAATACTGGGGTAGGCAGGAGTTACTTAAATAGTTAAATGATATTGGGCTTCACAACCAGGAATGTAAAAGGCAATGCTACTTCAGTTGTTGCAGGTCAGACTTCAATTGAGTATTAACATTCAGTTTTGAGTGTCCAACCTTCAGAAAAATACACCAGCTTTGGAGGGCAATCTCTAACAATTCACAATAATAACTGAAATGAAAGGCATTAGTTATGATGAGAAGCTGGGTAACCTTGAGTTACATTCCCTAGAGCTAAGCAATGTTAAGAGGTGATCTGATTGAGATGTTTAAAATAATGAGGTGAAGAGAGGTAAAGGGAGAATGTGAGAGAGGACAGAGAGGAAGGAGAGGTGAGGGAAAGCAAAAAAAAGAGAAAACAAAGAGGAGATAGTAATCCTTGCATTTGATATAGTGCCTTATCACATCTTCGAGACGTCTCAAAAAACTTCACAGAATATACTGTAAAGTGTATTGACTGTATATTTTATGGACGATAGAGGAGAGAGACAAAAAAGGGGAGAATAAAGGAGGGAAATAAACAAAGCGGGAGGTTAGAATACACAGATTTATTAGGATGTGGAACATTTTACAGGAAGTGTCTATCATTGCTATGCTAATTATAATATTCAAGCAAAGATATGAAGAAGATTCAAAAGCAGATAGGAAAGATGGGTTATAATAATAATCCTTGCATTTGATTCAACGCTTTTCACATTAGTCTCAAAATGCTTCACAGGATTTACTGTAAATTAAGAATGACTGTATATTTGTAGGCAAACACAGAAGGCCATTTGTGCACAGCAAAGTTCCACAAACGGACATGAAGTGAATGACTTAATTTCATATGAGGTGGGGATTGTTAACCAGGACACCAGGAGAAACTCCCTTCTCCTTTTGAATAGTGCCATGGGATCTTTAATATCGTGCAGGTGGACTTATCTAGTCCAAGCTGACACTTCAATGCAGCACACCCCCAGCACTGCATTGAAGTGTCAGCTTGGAGTAGATAAGTTTCATTGTCTGATGCACAGATTGCGCACAGGCTCAATGAGTCTGAGAGATGTACAAGTTGGAAGACACTGACAGAAGCCAAAGAGGATGGCTTCAGTCTTGTTCATATTCAACTGCAGAAAGTTGGCACTCATTCAGGCATTGATGTTTGCATGAATGCAAGTTGATTTTTGTCTTGAAATGGACCTTGAACAAGATGAGGGAAGGAACAAATCAGAGGTATTCCAGGATAGAGTTCCAGAGAATGGGAGCAGAAAGTCTGCTGAGGATGGGGTTGGGGGAAATGAAGCAGGCTGGTAACACACTAGTATTGGGTAAGGTAGTGGCCAGTGAAGCAAGTGTGCACATTGCCAGTGCTAGTGATGCCCATGCTCTTGGTACCCCATGGCTTGTGGCTACTTCCCTGTGACAGACGTACCATTGCCAGATTTGCAGCGCAAGTCACCAGTAGGATCAGTGCCAGGTTTGCCAGTATCATCAGCACCGGTACCACCAGAGCCAGCATTGCCAGCACCAGGCGTGCCAGTGCCAATGCCAGTATTGCCCGTGTTATCAGTGCCAATGCCATCAGTTCCAACATGGCTGATGTTATCGGCACCGGGTTGGCCAGTACCAACACCGCTGTTGCCAGTGCCGGTATTGCCAGCATTATCAGTGACAGTATTGCCGGTATCTCTTACCTAACGGTCCTGACCACGAAATAGATAATCACGAAGGCGGTGACCACGATGAGCACGTACAGCGCCCGCTGGATCATCATGGTCTGTTCGTGGAACGGCATGGCCGAGAAGTCGCCCTCTTTCTTCCTCTTACCACCGGGCCCGGCCGCCCCCGAGGAGCCGCTCAGGCTGCTATTGCCGCCTTCGCCTCCTGCCTTGCCGCCCCGCGTGACATTGCTGGCGGCCTGGGCCGAGCTGCCGCCGCTCAGGCTCAGGCTCAGGCTCCGGCTCAGCCTCGCCAGGCCCACCATTGGCGGCGGCGCCAGCTCACTGAGCCCCACCGCCACCCCGAGGGTCAGCAGCAGGAGAGGGGGGAAGCGGGCCGAGCTGAGGGCCATACCGCCTGTCAGTGCTCGCAAACGAGCTGCGCTACTCCATGGCCCCGGGGGGGGGGGAGGGTTGGGGGGGGGTTGGGGGCGGCGGTTGGACTGGAACTCGCGGCGGATGTTTTTCAAAATAAATTTGAAACGCTCTCCTTCCCCGAACCGCCAGTGACGTCACCGGGCACCGGGCACCGCGCCAGCCCGTCACGTGACTGGATGCGGAAGCGCCGGGTTTGGGCTATGGAGACACGTGAGGACCTGGGCATTGGGGGGCGGGGGGGGGGGGTCTGATAGGTCATGTGGAGGGTGGGGTGAGACCATGTGGGGTGGGGTGGGTGATGGGAACTGGATGAGACGATTGGGGGTGGGATGGATTATGCGGGAGATGGGATGATGGCGGATGGGATGGACGATGGCAATGGGGTTGGTTGATGGAGATGGGCTGTGGGGGATGGGATCGGTATTGGGGTGGATCGTGGTGGGATGGGATGGATGGTGGGGCAGATTGTTTCACTTAAGGTACAGGGCATCCCTGTTGCAACACCCCACTGACCTGCGCAAAACAGAAGTGCGACGCATCTTGCGCTAAGAATGTTAGTTGTTGGTTCTTGTGTGCTATACAATCCAATGCAGTTGACATTTATATTGCACCTTTCAAATCAGGAGGACATCTCAAAGCACTTCACACTGTTGGCTGGGCATCCGAGCCAGGGCAGTGGGAGCTGAAGGGAAGGGGTAGGGGGGAGATGACAGAAAGCATGATCAATGAGATAATTTTTTGAGCGATTGGGCAATGCTCTGGAGGATCTTGAATCCAACCCGCTGGGGGATGGGGAGCCAGTGGAATTGAGTGAGGATGAAAGGCTTTGCGGAGCCTGATGCAGGAGTGGACACATGCTGCAGAGTTCAGGATATTCTGTAGGATGTGTAGGGAAGAGCTGGGGAGTTGGCGAGCTGGGCAATGGCGAAGTCAAGCCTAGATGTGATAAATGCATGAATTCGGCAGAGAAGCAAGAAGAGGAGAGTCACTCAAAGGTGTCACTTCCTGTGTGTTTCGCTTCCCTGCTATTAGCAGGAGGATGTGCCAGTGATGTTATTTAATGAAGGCATTGATGTAGCACATAGAAAGTGGTGCTTGTGCATGCAGGCAAATAATGTGCAAGAAGCGGCATCAGAGGTGATCTGACAACTCAGATTGGCCATTGTTTTGAGCTTCAGTTAAAGTGCAACCTCCAAGGTACTGAATCTAGACAGCAACTTTATAATGGGATTGCCCTATTTCTAAAATAAAGCTAGAATTGGGGGCAGTTTTTTTCCTCCTACTTTCTAATGATGTAAGGATTTGTTGTAAATACATTGTGAATACAATGTGAAGTTTTTTCCTCCCCCAAAACTCCAAAATGTGCATTTTAAAACCGTTTTATTAAACAATTGCAGTGAGCTTCAGTACCAGACAATAAAAATACACAAAATAATATTATTATTATTATTAGCTTCTTGCTTGCAGATAAAAAATGCTATCCTTTTGTAAAATTGCTAACAATATCTTATGATCTTATTACGATATCTGGTGGTATGTAATTTCAAAGCCCTTTTTTCTGGTTTGTGTATTCCAGTAATATCAATTTTTAAGAGTTTGAAAATGAACTCTTCGGTTTATGTGCTTTCATAAGCTATGTGGCTTCAATAATAGTAGAGATTTGTGTCACATTTGTGCTTCTGAAGTCTAGTTGCACTAGAAAACAGTACAATAATTTACTTTTTTGCATTCCTGGTAGTTACGATCATCCATTGACTGTGCTAACATGATGAATACCAAAGAATGTATCACTACGTAAGAGGTGGAAGCCAATGTAATTCTAGCTCTTCCATATAAAGCACTCAACAAGTAATGTCACCTTCGGGGGAAGGACAGAAATCAATTCATGAACTGCGATTTTGCTCATGACACATAAAAGGTATCAGATTTTCCAGCAACTGAATTTTTCTTAAAAATAAGATGTTATAGAAATACATAAACAAAGGTTTTGTCATACTCATCAAAAAAATTTTTTACTGGAAAAGCAGGAAACAATAATCTGATCTAAAAGTAAACTACAAAGTGTTTAACTAGCGAAATACTGGTCAACTTCTTTATAAGGCGGAGTCCATAAAATGCCAGCCTGCCTTATAATGAGGCGATGAGCATCCGATTCCAGACGGCACCGATCACACAACCAGTGTCATCACTGTGCAGAAACCATCTGTATGCTCTCCTGTTGTACCAATTCATGGGGACATGAAACTCAGTACAAAATTCTGCTGTTGTAGTTCAAATGCTGCCATTGTGTTACAAGTGAATCTGCATTATAGTGAAGTGTGTTAAAATACAACAACAACAAATTGCATTCATACAGTGTCTTTCACATCGGGAAGACATCCCAAAGCTTCACAGGATGCACTGCAACATGCAGTGACTGTATGTTTTGTGAGAGAAAACAGCAGCCAATTTGATTACAGCAATGACCCACAAACGTGAACAGTGACCAATTTTATTTGGGGGATTGTCGACCAGGACACTAGGAGAAACTCCCTTCTCTTTTCAAATAGTGCCATGGGATCTTTAGCATCCACCTGAACAGACAGACAGGACCTTGGTTTATGTTTCATCCAAAGGACAGCACCTCCAACAGTACAACACCCCCCCAGCATTGCATTGGAGAATCATCTTAGATAATATGAGTTCCAAATCCTCATGTATTTTTTAGGAATATGACAAACCTTTGTTTGTGAGTTTCTATAGCACATTATTTTATGAAAAAATCAGTTCTTGGAAAATGTGATAGCTTATATGTGTCATGAACAAAATCGTAGTTTATGGATTGGTTTCTGTCCTCTCCCTGAATGTTACATTACCTGTTGAGTGCTTTATATAGTTAGAATGCTACTAAATGATAATGGTATTGCCCTTTAATGCAATAAGCATCAGAATTTCAACCCATTTAAATTGAAACTGGATTTATCTCATGGAACACAACAAATGGAACAAAACAAGAATATGATCACATTTGTACTTTCAATTAAAAATTAATCAGTTGAATCAGGATTGTCAAGCGCCTTGAGACGTGCTTCCCGTGTGAAAGATGCTATAATTTATTAAATATGTATTCTATCTGGTATATGTGATTCTGGATCCAATGTTGTATTCTTCTGATATGGAGTTTAACCTACTTTAGTTATTTAACCGCCTCACTTTCTCTTTCTTTTTTTTAATGGAATATTTTACAAACCTGTTTCCTTTGAAGTATGTTTACTGATCATCCCACATTTCAAGTAAATATAATTTCAAAGCATGTCTTACACATCAAATATATTCCTACTTGAAAGCATTTTACTGTATCACACCATTTCCATATAGCATGTAGAACATCAAACAGAACTATTTTTAACCTAAGATTGTACAACTAAGAGCTGGAAACCCAATGAACGCATAGATGCCAATAGGACTTTGTTTACAATTGATATTATTATTTGAGACTGAAAGGATACAAGCTATTTCTGATTCCAGACATTATAGTAAAAAATAATCCTTGCATTTCATATGGCGCTTTTCACGTCTTCTAGACGTCTCAAAGCGCATCACAGAATATACTGTAAAGTGAATTGACTATATATTTATGGGCAAAACGCGGTAGCCAATTGGGCACAGTAGTGCCCCACAAACAGTCGTGGATTGAAGTGAACAATTTATTATTTTTTTTTACTTGAGGGATTATTAGGCGTGTGGAGTAAGGAAACTTGCCCAAGGTTTGGCCCTGCCGGGAATTGACCCCAGGTCTCTCGCTTGCGAGCCCAGTGCTCTAACCACTAAGCTACAGGACTCCACATTGCATTTTTCCCCATCAGAGAGACTTAAGAACTTGCCAGAAATAAGTTCCCACTAGTGCACTTAGGTTTCGCAGCAAAACACCACTTTCTAACTTAAAATAAGCAACAACTTTATGAATGTTTTAAAATGTAAATGTTTGTAAAAAACACATGATATTACTTTTTTTTTAAAAATCCACTCTAGGTCTACTTGCCTTCATTACATCCAGGCTCGACTATGCCAATCCCCTGCTTGTTGGTCTTCCTAACTCTTCCCTCAGCAAGCTGCAGATCATCCAGAACTCTGCAGCTCATGTCCTCTCCCGCACCAGACTCCGTGACCCCATCACACCAATCCTCGCCCGGCTCCACTGGCTCCCCATCCCTCGGAGGATCAAGTTCAAAATTCTTGTCCTCACTTTCAAGGCCCTCCATGGCCTGGCCTCCTCCTACCTCTCCAACCTGCTGACCCCTTATCAACCTGTCCGCTCCCTCCGTTCAACCTGCTCCTTGTCCCACGCCCATCCCACACCACCATCAGCAGTCGGGCCTTCAGCCTCTCTGCCCCCATCCTCTGAAACTCCATCCCACATTCCCTTCGCATCGCTCCCTTCCTTGCCTCCTTCAAGGCAAGCCTTAAGATCCTCCTCTTCAGCTGTGCCTTCGGTCACCCTCCTATCCTCTCTGCCTTCCACCCTCCCTAATCGCAACCCAGTCCCACTAGGGTTATAATCCCTGACTGCCCTGATCCCTCCCTCCCTTCAACTGCTTGCCCTTTTTACCACAAACTTTGTCCTTGACTTTGCAAATGGGTCAAAGGAAACCTTTTTTGAGCCCAGGAGCTCAAAGCCATGAGGGAGAACTCTAATAATATAATCCTTGCATTTGATATAGCGTCTTATCATGTCTTCGAGACATCTCAAAGCGCTTCACAGAATATACTGTACAGTGATTTTTTGAAGTAATTATTACCCCCGGAAACGTGATCTACCAATTGATTAACAGCTGGGTTCCTACTTATTGCTAGGTAAACAGAAGTGTGTTGTAGGGAAACTTGCCCAACATTTCATGCTGCCCGGGAATCAAACCCAGGTTCTCTTGCTTGTGAGGCGAGTGTTGTAACCATTAAGCTACAGAACTGTGTCCCTTATTCCAAACATACAAATAATTGGTCATTCATCTCATTG